TACTAGGGGCTCCTGGCCTTACTACTAGGAGCAAAGGACGCTACTAGGGGCTTCTGGCCTTACTAGTAGGAGCAAAGGACGCTACTAGGGGCTCCTTGCCAAGGATGCTACAAGGGGCTCCTGGCCTTACTACTAGGAGCAAAGGACGCTATGGCCTTACTACTAGGAGCAAAGGACGCTACTAGGGGCTCCTGGCCTTACTACTAAGAGCAAAGGACGCTACTAGGGGCTCCTGGCCTTACTACTAGGAGCAAAGGACGCTACTAGGGGCTCCTGGCCTTACTACTAGGAGCAAAGGACGCTACTAGGGGCTCCTGGGCTTGCTACTCGGAGCAAAGGACGCTACTAGTAGCTCCTGGCCTTACTACTAGGAGCAAAGGACGCTACTAGTAGCTCCTGGCCTTACTACTAGGAGCAATGGACGCTACTAGGGGCTCTTGGCCTTACTACTAGGAGCAAAGGACGCTACTAGTTAGTAGCTCCTGGCCTTACTACTAGGAGCAAAGGACGCTACTAGGGGCTCCTGGCCTTACTACTAGGAGCAAAGGACGCTACTAGGGGCTCCTGGCCTTACTGCTAGGAGCAAAGGACGCTACTAGGGGCTCCTGGCCTTACTACTAGGAGCAATGGACGCTACTAGGGGCTCCTGGCCTTACTACTAGGAGCAAAGGACGCTACTAGTTAGTAGCTCCTGGCCTTACTACTAGGAGCAAAGGACGCTACTAGGAGCAAAGGACGCTACTAGGGGCTCCTGGCCTTACTACTAGGAGCAAAGGACGCTACTAGGGGCTCCTGGCCTGGCCTTACTACTAGTTGACGGTTGTCATGTCGTCATGTCCTCATTGAGACGACGCGTGTAGCGCGACGAGCGCCACGACCCGCTGCTCACCTACCAGGAGCACAGCTTGTCCCTTCTCCAGAGGCTGCTCCGGTGCAGCCTGGCGAAATGGCTGAAACACCTGAAGGGGGAAACCTTCCCAACTGCCTGTATTGATTAGAACCATCAAACTTGGGCCCACAGAGGTTTTCGTGGGTCGTGCTTTTCGTTGCAGCCCCAGAAACAACAATGAATTGAAGAGCTTCGCCAGTTTCTGAGGGCTCACCTGACCTAGGACCTAGAAGCTGTTTCACTTCAAGATATTGCATGATATTGCACTATATTGAACATCTTTCCACCTTGAAGTTTTACATCAATACACATGTCTGCCTAAATCGCTGGGTTTTTCACTGCCTTTCACCGTTTCGATCGTGTCTGGGCATCCCGCCACCGGCGGAGGGAAGTAGATCTCGGGGATGATCCTCAGCGCTCAGGGCGAGCGCTCGCGGCAAGGTTAGAAGTAGTGAGCGGAAAAGATGTGGTGAAAAGCATGCAGCATGAGGCTTTTCCAAGGTTTGGAAGGACATTTGTGGATTGAGATTAACTGGCAGTGGCACCACTGACATATCGGTGCTTTTTGGATGGGGCATCCATCAAGACCTCTTGGGGTGCCAGTGCCATTGAAACTCTGAAACCACTTCGTAACGTTCAGTTCGGGATGCTTCGGGGAATTCCAAAAGGGGTCTGGCAACCTTGAACGAATTCACCCAAAAAGGATCAACAAGGTATGGTTCACTGGTTCACTCACAAGCGTTTGATTCAAACCCTGCTTTTCTTTATTCTTTTTCATGACCGTGGCCTCGTCCAATGAGGCCGTGATGATGAACAAACTGCCTTTCAACAGCTCAGCTCGGGTGATCCCTTGCAAGATGGTCAGCCACAAGATCCATCGAGTCCCCCTCTTTTGCCAAGCTGCTACACCTTAGACCCTAATAGCTATTAGGTTGGAGGCCACCGCTATGAGGTCGGAGGCCATCACTATGAGGTCGGAGGCCATCGCTATTAGGTTGGAGGCCATCACCATTATTAGATTAGAGGCCATCGCTAGTAGGGTGAAGGCCATTGCTATAGTAGGTTGGAGGCCAAACCGCCGGCATCATCCCTCTTTTGACCCGAGCGGCGGATCCGGCACTGACATCCGTGGCGGCGGCGACCGTGACTGGCGGAGTTCGTCGATGGTGGGAGTAGCGGCATGGGATTCTTGTTTGGGGAGAGATTCCTGGGATGACAAAGCTATCTGGACCCAGTAAAGTTGGGCCATTGAGGTACAGACCATAAATATTGTGTGGCTAGTGAATACATCTCTTGTGCATGCATGTTAGAATATATTGACATCAACCATCATACACGAATTATTCGGTTGGGGGTGTCCCCCTCAAACCGACTCCTACCATGCCCCCCAAATCAAGAAGCGCCTTTCCGCGTCCACAGCTCACGGGAACCGCGCCTCTCGAGGCCTCTTCTTCTTCCGCTCTGCCTGCGACACTTTTCCGTGGTGGCTGAGATTTGCTGCGAAACAAGTTGACCAGGAGATGTGCATGTTTGGCCGTACCATGCCGTATTCGTGATGCCTAATTGCCACTTCGTCTGCATGTGGTTGCCTTCGGAGCCAAGGCTTCGGAGCAGAATTGGCTCTACTCCCATGCCTTCCCATGCCGGCAAGCCGTAGTCGTGGAAGGTGTTGTCTCCTTCATGAACTCTCCCACGCCCATCCCGCGGTGCCCCGCAGTGCCGCTGCGGTGCCGCTGCGCCTCGGTGCCCTTCGGCCCGGTGAGCGTGACCCCTAACTTGCCCGCCACGAGCTTGTGCCTCGGGACTTGCCCGGCTGGGCTTGGGATCGATGGCCATTGATGGCCATCGATGGCCATGGGTCAATACAAAGAAGATCAATCAAGTCACGAATCTAAAATCTCTAAATCTCCGCCCACCTTGCAGCGCACAAAACGCGCAAACCAAAGTTCGGGTGCCAAGTTCGTAACTCGCCTACCTTTCTGAGGCATCAGCGCCCGCAAAAAAACAACAACACAGTATCACACAATTTGACTATAGCTGAACGCGTTGAAACAGTTGTAACTGTGGACCTTTAAGTACTATAGTACAACAAAAAGGAGCCACTCCATCCGGAATCTTCATCATCAGCCGTGCACTGCTTTCTTGAAGACCGTCTGCATACCTCCTCTGCTACCCAGAAAGCTCCCAGCCAGACCTGTGACGTGTGACACGACCGCACAAAACAGGGAGCCCAGCATCTCCGAGGTGTCTGGGTCGAACTTGAGATGTTGGGCCTTCCGGTCACCGACCGTTGCGAGCGGGATCGAACGGCCGTTTCAGAACTCGGGGCGGACGAACTCGGTCGCGGAACCAGCGAACTCGGTCGCGGAACTCCGCCGCCAATTTCAAACGTGGAGACTCTCAAGGACTGAAGAGATCTGCTGAGCTGCTCACATAGTAAGAGCCTGGAATTGGGGAGGGTCTAAGATGGTCTTTCATATTCTTTCTAGATGGCTGAGACGTTTGCAAGAAAACAGCAGGCCCTACTTGGGTGTAGGTAGTCACGTGTGTCTTTCAGGAGGAGTCAGGTCTATGATTTGGTAGCTTTGGAGTGCATCCTGGGTGCAAGCAAAACTTTGTGGAGGTTCCTCAAGACTAGATTTTGTCCTTAAGGTGTGTTCAAATATGTTAAAAGGTGATGGCTTCCAGTTGCTTCAACCTTCAGGCTCTGTAAAGAACGTTCCAGAGTAAACATCATCACTGCCATCTTTAACCCAGTAACCTGTATATAACAGCAACAAGCAAAATCCATCTCCCAAATCAGTTTTGTGTTGCCATCGCGTCCCCTCGACACACTCCCCTCGTGTCGCGACCTCAGTGAGGTCCCGGTAGGATTTCTTCCAATGGCCCAAGCGACCTCGGCGAGGTCGCGATGAAAGCGTGGTGACGAAAACACCGTGTGGACACAGCAGCGCCTGGTGATGAGCCACCGCTCATGCCACCTGTCCACAACGCACACAGGTGACGCTGGATCATTTAGGTGTTTACATTGGAGCTCCCCCAAGACCGTCCACATGCTTTTCCTTCGCACCTTCCGCACCTTCCGCACCCCACGGCGGAGGTGAAGACTGGGACCCCCGACGGTGCGCCATGCCGCGCAAGCGGTAGGCCTACGGTGCCAGCAACGCGAGCAGGCAGCAGTTGGAAACAAAACAGGACGATTCCAAGGATCCCCTTGCAAAAACACATTGGAAAGAAGTGCGAGATCCATCTATAGTCACTTCGATGTTTTCATCAATTTCTTTCTCGGCTTCGCTTCAATGAGTCCTGATCGTTTCAAACATTTGTCTGCATGTGGTGCAAATGTTCCCAGGATCCTCCTTAAACCACCCCGCAAGCACCAAGCGCAAGCACCGTCCCTCACAACACTCGACAGCTCCGCGGCGAAGCGTGTCCGATGGAACCCATGGCCTTCACCATGTGATTGTTGATCTTTAAGGCCGCTGAACCTGCAGCCGAACAAAGGGGCGAGCTAGCTGTTTCGAAACAGCGTCGTGAGGCAAGACTGGGAACCAGGGCGGGGGGTCCTTGCGGGACTCAGGTTGTTTCTTTCTAAGATCAAACTCATTAGAGATGAATGCTGAGAATGACGGGGTTCAACATGTGTTGTTTCTGGTGTTGGGTCGCGGTTGGTCCGTGGTGTTGGTGTGTGGCAGTGTGGAATGTAGTCTTCAAGTTTGCTTGGGGTCGCCGCCTGGTTGCTTCATGTAACTGACATCACGATCTCTAGAGTCAAGGTTTTCTACCCATGCACCGAGAATGTTTGTTGCCCAACGTGCATGTCCACATGTCCATATCAATCTGCTTGCTGGGAAATTGACAAAGGCAAGGCTTAAATGGCAAATGATAGGAACGATGCATATTGCATATATAAATAGATTTAAACACATAGTAGATATTTAGCTATCTGCCTGTCTGCCTGCTTTTCTGTCTATCCAACTACCTAGATTCCTATGGAAAATGCCTATCAACATCACTGATCAGAAATACTTAAGAACTGCTTGTAATGATGCATTAACGGTTAACCTGTCTGCCATTATCTGCCCATCTACCTATCCAAGACCTACCGATCCTACTGTCTGTCTGTCTGCCTGCCTGTCTGTCTGTCTGGCAGTCTGTCTGTCAGTCTGTTCCTTCGTTCCTGTCAGCTCCTTTCATGTCCCTTCCTCAGTCCTAGCAAATACATCCATGCTAAACCTGAGCGGGGCCAGGCAACATGCCCACTTTCGCACTCCTGAGCTGCCGTTGTTCACATCAAGGCCGGTCGAGGCCGGGCGTCGAGGCATTGGAACGGAAGGACCATCCAGTGTCCCGCCACTTGGCCCATCCATGAAACCCGTCGTGTCCCGCCTCTGGTCCTTCGTATGTCCAATCTACACGACTCGACATGCCACGAAGCTCGTGGCACGTGTGGGATTTGGGCAGAGATCGATGTTGTTTTGCGATCGGGAGCAGTAGCCCGCTTCAGAAGCGACTGGGCGGCTTCGACAGGCGTGACTGAGAGTCATTCTGCACACGTACTCGAAGACCCTCGTTGCATGAATCTGAGACCCAAAAGACTCTAGCGTTCATAGTCCGTGAGCAAGCCCCTGGCATAGAGCTCGATGGGCTGCAGTTATTCAAATCAGGCAGGATGCACGTTCGAGTTTAACATGCGTTGTTTTGCCCCCAAAACATTTGCACCGCTCTGCCAGTGAGCTTAGGAGTTTTCAGCCAAGAAGGGAACGACGCTCACGCTCCAAACCAAGGCTTTGCGCGGGCTTCTCTCAACGGGGCCAAAGCAGGACAATTCACACCGTGTCAGTGCGTCATCTAAGCAACACCGCAAATTCTCTCATTCTGTCTCCATGCAGCTCTTGCCCGTGCGAAGGGCGGAAAACACGGTGTAGACGAGTCCGGGTTCCCTTTGCGGAGGGAGAGACCTTTCGAGCTGAGAGTCCTGAGTCTTTGGATCACCGTGGCGTTGCAAATCCTCGTCTTCGATCGGCACCGATCTGGCACTGGAACGGTGTCAAGTGAGTAATGGGCACGCAGGCGTTTCTTGGTGCTCCCGCAGGGAGTTCAAAAAACAAACATTTTGTTCAATTCAGCTCTAGCTATAGAAATTAGCATGATTTGGTTGAAGAAGCTCTGTTTTTTCAACGGTGCTGTTCCCGGTAGCGTTGGAGCCTTCTGCATGGCCGATCAAAAACCATCCCGCTTTGCTTTGATTCAACTGCTCAACTGAACAGTTCTAGACATGTTCCGGAGTCAACAAAGTGTTGCTTCCATACCATCTGTGGTCCGTGCTAGTGATACTCTATCAGTTCCAAAATATGCCTAAACACTGCATGTATGCCATATATGCCTACATTGACCCGCAAAACCACCCCAATGTAGGCATATAGCATAAATGGAGTGTCTGGGTGTGCCTAAACACACCGTCGCCCCCCAAACAAAGCACCGCGGCCCACCGCAGCCGTGAAGCGCTGTTTCCAAGGCCCCTGACAGTCGCGGAGCGCCGCGCAGGGCCGCTTCATCTTCAGCAGTAAGGCAGCACCTGGGTGTTCGGCCGAAGATTGAGGCACTTGGACGCCGTGGTATGGAGGTATGGAGGTATGAAGGTATGACCTGTTTGAAAGTAGTGGGTTGACTCACATGGTTTGAGTATAAGTCCAAATGATGATAAGATAAGATATGTATGATAAGTCTTGAGGTCTGGTTGACAACAAACTTATATACCTTTATTGATCATATCTGGTGTGTGGAACCAAAGATGGTATATGGTAGTATGACGTATGTTGATGTATGTTGAACAGTTCACGGCAAAGCAGCTGAACCGTGTGGGAAGGGACAACACTGAGTAGCAGGAGAGTACGCACGCCTCCATCCGTCACGCTTCGAAACGTCAATTGGAAGGGCCAACATCCGGAAAAACGGCGCCTCCCTTTTGTGCAAGGTAATGTATGCACGACTCTCCAAGTCTGCCGAATGCATGGTTGATGCCTACTTCCACGCACACTGTCAACTGTAGGTGCTCAATGACCATGTAGATAGGACAAGGGTTCTATCCTTCCCTTTCCGACCTGCACTCAAAAAAACTACACTCCAAAAGGCCACCGTCAATACACGGAGTGTGTGGATTGAACTAGCGAGAGCTCCCAGTTCGACCCGCTGGAACACATCGCTTCCAAGAGGCGGGTGCAAAGCATCTGGGGATTGGAGCCGCCTTTCTTCATCGCCTCGCCGTCACACCGATAGCCCACCAGAACAGGTCGGAGACCGAAGAAGTGTCTAACGATGTCATAGATGTACCGCGGTTTCAGAGTAGATGGCGCAATCCCCAGAGTAGATGGTTTATGAGGACCATATAAAAGACATCTTTGGGTCCCAGTGCCATCTACTCTGAAACCACTGTATATGACATCTTGAGGTCTGCGCCATCGAACCTCAAAAACCACTGAGGTTCGATGCGGTCCAGACCGCGTCCATGCACTTCGAGCCCCAGCCGGGCACCAGAACTGGTGACTGGCCATTGCTGGGCCACAGGTGTGGATACGTTTGTTGTCATGTGGGGAATTGCTTATTGGCTTATTGGTTGATGTCGTGTTTGTACTGGTGTGTTGTCAAGTATTACGCGTTTTTGTCGCGTTCGTTGTGGTTATGTTTGGTGTTGGAGTTGTGTGGGTGTGTGTGTGTGTCATTGTGTGTTGCTTGTCTCATTGTTGGTTGTCTGTTGCCTTGTTTGTCATTGTACTGGCTGGTGCCCTGCAGCAGCAAAGGTCCCGATAGGGTGGCTTATCTCCTCTAAAATCTAGCTACCCAATCCTGTTGGGCAGTGTGACAAATCGTGAAACACCTATAAACATCTTGAACCAGCCAGGTAGACCACTGTTTTGATTGGAAAGAAAGCCAGAAAGCGGTTTTAAGGCTCCAAGACAGGGGTCATAGGTTCTATAGGTATCTTGATGCCTGGAGCCAGGCTCAGTCGAGTCTACTTGTGTCAAATTCTCTCTCTCTCTCTCTCGAGTCCGATATTTACAGCAAGATGATCGTCTGCCTACCCTTTCCTAATCCTCCACAGGCGTCCACGAGCCACCACGAGCCAGTATCTAGAGTGAATGATGAATCATGAACAGGGACGAGATGGCTCGGAGGCCTTGGTGGCCTTGGCATGCCTTGGCCGGGGAAGAGTGGCTGAGGACGTCCCAAACGTCCTCCAGAGTCCCCCCATGGCCTCGGTATAGACGTTGATGGCGTTGGTGAAATCCCCTGCTTGCATCGCCACCGCCTGACGAAGAAAACACAAGAACGCACGATAGACTGAGCACATGAGTGCCAGCTTGGTCAAGGAAAATGGTCTTCCAAATTCCAAACCCTCCTGAAAGGCGGCTGTGTTAGTTTGAAGCTTGGGTTCCATTCTGGTGAGCCTCAGCCATACAACAAATAGACTGGGAAAGGTCCAAAGGAAAGGTTCAAATTATAACTTTGGACTGATGCTCTTCTTTCGGATTGGTTGGTTTTCACAGCCCGAGTATGCCCGAGTAATGTGTGCTGCTCAGCTAGAGGAGCCACTTCGGCTCCCTGGAGATCTCGACTGCGCTCATGAGATGCACACGGGGGGGCAGTTCGGCAGAACACGCTGGTAAAGATCCTAGGAGCAAAGGGCATCGCTACTAGGAGCAAGGACGCTACTAGGGGCTCCTGGCCTTACTACTAGCAGCAAGGACGCTACTAGGGTCTCCTGGCCTTACTACTAGGAGCAAGG